CTCATTGTCGATTATAAGGCTCATTGTTATTTGATCTTTTTAATTTTAGTCCCATTTTTTTCACGGTGCTCCTTGACTTTTATTACTAGAGCTTGCAAATCCTTGCATTTTCAGCTATCAGAGTAGTATTTATTTATGTATGTATGTATGTATGTATGTATTTATTTATTTATCAAATTTGTCACCGCCCATCTTGTTGAATGACTCTGGGTGGTTTACAAAACAGTTAAAATCAATTAAAATTACAAAACTACAATTTACTGTTATCTAGTATCATCAGCATAACACAGGTTATTGATGTGCCTTCCTCAAATTTTAAAAACACATGCATCCCAGGGCTGCCAAAAGGGCAGAGATGAGGGGAGATAGGCAAGTGGGGGGAGTTGAAGCATCCCTGTGGGTGTAAATGCGGGCAGGCTGCCAAGTGCCTGAATTTTGATCAGGTGACCGCAGGGGTGCTGCAACAGTGTAACTTCAAGGACTGGTTGTAAGTCACTTTTTTCAGTGCCGTCGAAATTTTGAATGGTCGCTGAGAGAATGGTTGTAAGTCAAGGACTACCAATGCAGCCTTGTCTCACTCCTTTGCCAACCTGGAGCCAGTCTGTTTCACCATATTCTCTCCAGATTGTGGCTTCCTAACCTATGTAGAGGTTCAACATTTTTAATGTTATTCCTTTTGATTATTCCAGATAGTTAAATATGAATTTTCCAAAAGTGGTATAAGGGCAAATTTGGATGGGCAGCTCAGCTCACCCCTGGATTCCTGAGGAAAAAATATTTATTCTGGATTTCATAGTTAGATAATAAGTGCTAGCCACTTTCTAGAAGGCGACAGAAATTAAGCAGACCTCCTTTCTTTCTCCTGGTTTTATTTTCCAGATGGAAGGTAGCATTTAATGCATCTATTTCTACCTGGGATTCTGGGGGCTTGAACTACAGTGCCAGTGTAATTATAGTGGCCGCTTCTTGGCATAAAGGGGGGAAATGCCAGGTCAACTACATCCCATCTTCCAAGCAGCTGCTGCCACCTACTGTTCTATCCTTGTGTTTGTAATCAAGTATGTTTTTAATTTGTAATTGTTCCCTATTTGTTTTAAAAGAATACACAGGCAAAATAATGTTGCCTAATTTCACTTTCCCTTGCTAAAGGATACTCAGCTTTGTCTTTTTGAAAAATCATGGATGTGGTGAAATATGAAACTGAGCAAGACTTACATAAATCTCCACAATTAGGCACAGAGAAGGTAAACTCTTAATTGACCCAGCACATACTTTTTTTGCTGGCAAACAAACAAACAGTAGTTTTTAAAGCAGGGGTTGGCAAGTAGATTGGCCAGAGCAGGATTATGGCCAGAGCTCATATCTCCCTCTTGGACTTTGATTTTTCATTGCCCTATTTCACTTATGGCCAGTTTGACCTGTACAGTAGGGCTCTAAGAAATATATGGATGCTTCTGAATTTAGGTATGAAGAGGACTAGACAGCTCTTGGTTGCACTGCTGAATAGGTTTGCCTGATGTTGACTGGCAAATTGGAATAATCCGTTGTCCACCTGTTACTTGTCACTGCTCTAAGCAATGTTGTTGTAAGTGTAATGTTTGAATCTTTCTAGATCAGGGGTAAGCAACAATTTGGTGGGGGGCATATTTGAGATGTGGTGGGTGCACTCACAAAATGGTTGTCATCATGACCACCACCCTTCATAAAACACTTATTTACTAAAAGATGAAGATGGTTGCCCTTCCAGCTCAGTACTTATCAACTTTGCAACATTTCCACCTACTGTTATAGAATTATGGATATGGCAGGGATTACAAGGTTCATCTAAGCCAATCCTCTGGAATGTGCAGCAAAATCTTTGTGAGATGGTTGTCTAGGTTGTTCTGTGGCTCTTATCCTATCCAAAATGTTTGTGTGTTTTATACATTTACTCCTTCCTAAGTAAACATTGTGAAGCATTGTAGATTAAAACTCAACAAATAACATTCCAAAGAATTAAGAACAATTGATGTAAAAGCATATACATTAAAAATAAGGGAATTCCATAGTAGGCAAACATAGAAGGTTTGGTAAAGAGAAGTCTTCAAAAAATGCAATCATGAAAGCCTTCCAGAGAGCCACTGCAGAGATGGCCCATTTGTAAGCAACCACATGGGACAATCTGCGTGTAGTGGCAAAAGCAGAATGACTCTTGTGATGACTGTAGGTTGCCCACCCATGATATAAAGGCTGGGAGGGCAAAAAGGGCCTGGTTGATAGAGACAGTGCAAGTGGGAAGGGAAAAGAACCTCCCATTTGAAAGCGCAGCCTAGGGACAGTCACTGAGGCAGAGGCATAAATCACTTGGTGAGACAGAATTCACCAGAGGAACAATGAGCAGAATTGAGGAGAGGAAGAATATTAGAATGGGATCACAAGAGGGTCATGTGGACCATATTAAAGGGCTTCTTTATAATACTGCCAGTTAGTAGTTGTTCTTATTTATCCAGGGACTCAGAACAGTATCTAAACCCAGCCAGGCTAGGCTGAAGTTGTAGAAGAAGCAAGGCAAGAAACTCAATAGTACACAGTACCTCATTTTTAATGACTGCTCTGAAGTACTACAATTCCCATCCACTTTTACAACTTCTAACAGTGGCTAGCTGTCTAAAGTTGGTACTTTTCTCTTGATCCATGGATATGTATATATAAAAATTACTATACATGATATCACTGTTACAATATGGGGATAAGAGGAACCAGAACACAGGACTTTAGAGGAATGTTCTGTCTTGTGCCTAATTTGGGAAAGGAGATGTGATGGAATGGAATTATGAAGGCCAGGC